GGCGTGTAGGGGAGATGCTCCGGTATCGGTGGACTCCAGTTTCACTGAAATCGGACCATTTTTCTTGTTTTTACGGCCACTTCTTCGTTCGCCCATGTGGAGCCTTCGCTACCTCTAGCGTCCAGTAGAGGAGCGGCGGCGACGACGCCGGGAGACGCTCGCCCGAAGACGACAACCACGGCGTTGCCGCGGTTGCCGACGGCTATGGACTCGACTGGGGAGTCGCAAACAGCGTCCGTACGACAATCCAAACCAGGTTTGGGTGAAGAAGTCATGGACTTTGCCGCGCAAAACCGGGATGAAGCAGCACTGCCTGGGAACTGCAACGCGGCGTCCACGCACGCCGACGCAGATTTTTCCGCCCCAACGGAGACCGACCGCACAGAGGAGGGATGGCAAATATCCCAATCGCTCAGAGCGAAGAAGAAACAGGCGAAGGAGCGGAAATTTCAACAAGGAGGGGACTTCTCCGCAGGCAGCAGACCTACGACGGACAACCAGCCAAAGCGCCGAGGTCGACCTACAAGACGGAGGCCCCCAGCACTACCCAAGGACGATCTGAAAGTAGTCTTCCGACCTCACCAGGGACTGCCTCTGAAGAATGTGACCACCCAAGCGATCTCCGACGCTATAGTGGAGGCTTGCCAAGGAAAAGTCAGGTGGGATCAGTTTATTCTCCGCATCCGACCGGGGTCCAACATTGCGCTAGCGTCGACTCCAGACACGACCGTCGCGATGGCGATGAGAGGCGTCGCGTCTTTGAATATCAACGGAAGACCACACCCGGTCAACGTCTACGTTACGGCAGGTGAAGGAACCAAAAAAGGTGTTATTCACGGTATAGAGCCGCACACCCCGTCTGAGACCATCAAAGCGAGCATCCGTTTTCGAACCCAGAGCGTGACGCTGGTCGACGCTCGGATGTTGGGAGACTCTCAGAGTGCCGTCTTGACTTTCTTCGGGGACATTCTACCAAGATATGTTTACTACAGAGGAGGTGAGGAGGAGTGTATTCCTTTTCGTAACACCGTCCAATTCTGCCGAGCGGGTGGGGAGGTTGGCCACCGCACCGACGTGTGTCCGCAGCCAGACTCACCCGTGTGCCATACCTGTGGAATGCGCAACCCCGAAGTAAACCATAATTGCACTCCGACATGCGCAATTCGCACGGGAAACCATATCACTGGAGACCGCAGTTGTCTGAAACGCCTCAAGCCTATTCGCAAGCAAGCAGCGAAACCACCCAAAAAACCACACAAGCCAGCCCCTCGCTGGTTTCAGTCGGAGGAAGAGGAATCGGAATGGGAGTACGGACGAGGCGGGACCCGAAAGAGCCGTTCCAGAACCCGCACGCCGTCGAAAAACCGTGCCGTGGAGACAGGACAACCAGGACAGCGGCATCCAAAGTCAGACTTCGACGCCGAGAGCAATCTCCCAGGACAATCCGAACGCGCAAGCCCTTCCGAGAAGCAAGCCACCGGGGGCGTGTCCTGCACATAGCAACCCACAGGCGGATGCGGTAAGCTATGCGCAAGCCTTATCTTCCACTACCAAACATAAACCCGTTACACCAACGATCACAGAACACACAGAATACAAGCGGGTAGTAGCTGAAAACAGACAACTTAGAACAGAACTACAGGAGGTTAAGTCTCGAATGGCGCGCCTGGAGTCACTACTAAACCAGTCGAGCAACACACAAAGCCCGGCGAGCACACCTGTTGTCTCGCAGCCCGTTGCGCAGCCCGTGGAAACGCAACCACCAAAAACACCGCCGATAGCGTTCCTAGTTCAACAAATTCAACTTGTTTTTGCCAAACTAGGCCAGATGGAACGCACCATAAGCGACTTGAGTCAGGCGCAGAATCCTCGCAAGAGATCTTGTCAGAGCCCGGGTGCCCCCACCAGACAACCTAAAGAAAGTAGAATAACAGATTCCGAGAATACCAATCATGGCTAGACACCGTAACAATAAAAAGACCGAGCAAACGAAATATGGCAGTGGAACTGCTGCTCATTGAGAACAAAACTTGAAAATTTCAAACAATTTATTGGAGCATCTCCAATCCCCCCTGATATAATCTGCCTTCAGGAAGTAGGCAAATTTCAGATAAATCTGAGAGGGCACGTAAGACATATTAACCCAAAGTACCCACAAGTGGCGACATTTACCAAAAAAGATATAGCATTGAGTGTCAGCTACGTGAGCAATGAGGCAGTGCAACACCAGATAATAACAGTGTGGCCCAAAAAACGTGGAGGACCAAAAACAGTGGGGGTCAATATATATAGCCCACCTAAGGAGAGACGAGCCGACTTTGAGAACATTATAGCACATGCGATGGGTTTATTGAAAGAGAAAGACAGGTTAGTTATCATGGGGGATTTTAATGCGCCACACAGAAATTGGGGATATAAGCAGGACAGCCCTAAGGGCAAACTCCTTGTAGACCTTGTTGAACGGTATGATCTCTGCCAACTTACACAACCAGACCTACCGACACGGGTCGGGAATAGCTTAACAAAAGACACGTCACCGGACTTAACGTTTACAAATTCTGAAGGAAACGTCTCATGGGCGCACCTCTGAGAAAACTTGGGAAGCGACCACTACATTCTCGGAATAACTATTAATGCCGCCACGACAAGAAGAATGGGGAAAGCGACAATATCTGATTGGAACAAATTTAGGGAGAACGTAGGAGACCAAGGGGAAATAATAGATCTAGGTAACTGGGTGACACAGATAAAGGAGGCACACAGGAAAGTGACAAAGGAAATAGAAACAAGCGTGGAAATCCCAGCAGTCGACAAGCACCTGCTACATTTGTGGGACGCGCGGAGAAGCCTCACAAAGCGATGGCGGAAGCAAAAGCTTAATCGCAAATTGAAGATAAGGATAGCTCAGTTGTCACAGGAAGCCAATGACTACGCACGTCAACTAAATAACAGTAACTGGAGGCAATTTAGTAACTCACTTAGAGGGACGTTAGGAACCAAAAAGACCTGGCACATCCTGAGGAGTATGATCGATCCAGGGGCAACAAAAACAATGACGAACAGGGCTTTAAGAATTCTGGAGAATGAATTTAAAGGTAACGATGACGCACTTATCTACGAAGTCAAGAAATTGTATGTCGGACAAGACGCATGTGACGTGGTACATGGCAAATATGCAGGAAAAGAACAACCAGAGTTAGACGCTCCCATAACATTTGAAGAGGTTTATGCGGCGGCCCAGTCTTTCAAAAAGAATACCGCCCCAGGACGAGACAAAATAAACTCTATGCTTAGAAATTTGAGTGATGCGGCCCTTCGACGAATCACGGATTTCTTTAATGAAAAGGTATGGGTAGATGGAGGAAACCTTCCAGTAGAATGGAAGGACTCAAACATCATGTTACTACCAAAACCAGGGAAACCAAGAGATATTAAGAACCTCCTACCAATCTCCCTTACCTCATGCTTGGGTAAGCTTTTTGAAAAAACAATATTGACTAGATTGGCAGACTATGTAGAGAGAGAGGGTCTGCTACCGGTGAATATGTTCGGTTTCCGACCACATGTATCGGCCCAGGATGTTTTCCTGCTGTTGCAAAATGACGTCATGAACCCAAACAGAGGTTCAAGCGACGAATTCGTACTAGCACTAGATATCAAGAAAGCATTCGATACAATATCACACAAGGTGATAATGGAAGGCCTCGAATCGATTAACTGCGGCCAACGAATATATGAGTATGTCCGGTCATTTCCGACAAGCAGGAAAGCTACCATTTCTTTAGGCTCGGTTACATCTGAAACCTTCGACAACCCAAATAGAGGCACCCCCCAGGGAGCCATGCTATCCCCGATACTATTTAATATCGGCCTGAGAAAGCTCGCATGTAAGCTGGAAAATATAAAAGGTCTAGGAGCAGCTCTTTACGCAGACGATGTCACCTTATGGACAAAGGGTGGCTCTTATGCGGACAAAGAAAACGCCCTCCAGGAGACAGTAGATAAAATACAAGCTTTCGTGACAGCTGCAGGAATGCAATGCTCGCCGGAAAAAACTGAAATGGTTAGAATTAGGGCAACATACGCAAAGAAAAAGGACTTAATACCGGTAGCAGTACTGCTAGATGGGAGACAAATCAGGGAGGCAGATGTAATACGCGTGCTTGGCATGTGGATACAAGGAAATTCGGGAACGTCACACACACTACAAAGGCTACGGGAAACCACGGCGAATGTGGCCCGGATGATCAGGCGGATAGCAAATAGCGAAATGGGACTAGAGGAGAAAGAAACCATTGCACTCGTTCATGCATTTGTGATCAGCCGAGTTACGTACGCGCTGCCGTACCAGACAATGACAAACCAGGAGACAAAGCAAATAAACACAATAATAAGGAAAGCATTCAAAGCAGCATTGGGGATTCCGGAAAATGCCAAAACCGAGAGGGTAGAGAAATTGGGCATATACAATACCTTTGAGGAGTATGCGAATGCGGTGCTTTTATCTCAAAAGGAAAGGCTCAATTCAAGCTATCATGGGAGAAGAATTCTGGAAAATATGGGATATACATTGCGACCGCTATATTGTGACGAGGAAACGGTGCTAATAGATGCGGAAAAACGCACACATTTAACTGTGGCGCCTATTCCCAGAGATATGCATCCGACGTATCACGCAGGAAGGAGGAAAGCGAGAGCAGACTCCTTACGCAAAGCATTTCAGAATAGCTCAGAAGCCGTCTTTACAGACGTAAGTAAAGCGAGCAGAGGGTCACATGTAGTGGCAATTGTAGCACAAAATCACACCACAATGGCGTCGGTTAAAACTTGTTTCACACGAGTGGCAGAGGTGGCAGCAATAGCCATAGCCATATCCAACGCAGAAATCAGGAAAGAATCAGTGGTTGTGCTCTCCGATTCACAGGCGGCATGCCGAATGTTTCTCCGAGGAACGCTACCTAAAATAGCGTATAAATTTTTAAATAAACCCATAACAGGAGGACCGACTCTATACGCACGACGTCGTGGGTCTTGGCGGAAGCGTGTATACGCACGACGCGACTGAGGCGCCACGACACGCCACGCGGCAACTTCAGAAAACGGAAAGCGCCCTCGCTACTCTCGCTGCTCAGTGCACGTCCACGTGCGTATTCATGCTTTCATCGAGCGGCCGTGCACAGGCGCCTCGCTTTGTTGTTCTAGTGGCCGCAGTGTGGTGAACGGCATGGGATTCGAAGTTGGGGCACGGTTTAGTTGTTTTAGCGATTTTGATCGCGCCTTTAGGGAATACCAGCTCCAAAACAATACCCTTTTCGTAGCAAAAGCGACAAAGACAGTGGACGTCGTCAATTCGCGGCTAAGTGTCGGACTTGAACGTCTGCAAAAGAAGCTCAAGTACGCAAACGCGACGTATGTGTGTAAACACGCCGGGGAACGGAGGTGCACTGCTACTGGTGTACGACCTCAGCAAAGGTGAGCTGCAATCCATCTATCCTTTCTTAACTTGTACACTTTAACAATGAGCTAACCTCTTGGGTTACGTTTCCAGTAGTTACGAATAGAAAAAAAAAAATGTGCGCAGGACCATGAAGCAAGGGTGTCCCGCGACCGTTGTCATCGCAGCACGTCGGACCAGCCAGCAGTTAGAGATAACAAAGATTGACTGCAACCACAACCACGAAGTGAACAAGGAAATTTTCCAGCTGTATCCGGAAAACCGCCGGCTTACGCACCATGAAAAGGAATATGTCCTTCCTTTGCTTGACCTCAATGTGTTGCCCAATGTCATAGCTGGGAAGCTAGCAGAAAAGACGGGTAAGGACATGTGTTTTTTCCCTCTTTTTGCGACGCATTGATTGCCTTAATTTTCGCACTTCCCGTCTTATTTTTCTCAGAGTGCTCAATTATGACTTCCGAATATTTTTTCCTGTTTTGTCAGTGCATGCTATTCATGCATGTCTTTCTTTCCTGGCTTTTACCAACAGGAAAGGTGGTAACAACGCAGGATCTGCACAATGTCAAGCGAAATTGTCACGGCCGAGACGAAGCTGAACAACTTCTTCAGGAGATAGAGAAGTGTCGTCAGCAGCATCGGGCAAAGATAATTCCTATCACAGATGAAAATGAGGAGCTGCAAATTTTGTTTATTCAAACGCCACACATGCAGCAAGCATATAAGTCCTTCCCAGAGGTGGTGTTGCTTGATGCAACATATAGGACAAACAAGTTAAAGATGCCACTTTTTGTATTTGTCGTGCAAGATGGGTGTGGAGAAAGCCAAGTAATTGCTTATGCTTTTGTTGCTTCTGAGCAGTGTCACCACGTCACTGAAATGCTCAACCTCTTCGTGAAGGAAAACCCTTGTTCTGAAAATACTGGCGTCATAGTCGTGGACAAGGACTTCACCGAAATTAGTGCAATTCGTAGCGCTTTCCCATCTGCTCCATCAATACAGTTGTGGCAGTTTCATGTGATGAAAGCATTCAGAACAGCAGCTAGCCACTTAGCACGTTCCGCTGAAGAACGTGACAAAATGGTGACCACATTCAATGAAATGCTGCACGCCCCTAATTCAAGCAAATTTGAAGATGCACAGTCTGAGTTCACAAGGTTTGCAAGCAAAGACTCAATAGAGTACCTCGAGAAGAATTGGCTCTCAATTAAGAACATGTGGGTTCGCCACATCTGCGACCAAGAGTTCACTTGTGGAGCCAACACAACTAACAGAGTTGAAGCGCACAATGGTTTCATAAAAACGGCATTGTCATCATCAACAAAGCTTCATGATGCTGTAAGGAAACTGCTAGATTTATCAAGCAGTATTGAAAGAAAGTCGGCCCACTCAGCAACATTGCTGAAGACATGCATCTTCTACAACCATTCTAGCAATAATAAAATTGAAGAGGCATGTGCTAAAGTGCTGACCCCGTTTGCTTGTGGAGTAATTAGAAAGCAGTTCAGCAAACTTGCAGAAAATGATATTGAAGTGAAGAAAACAAAAGAAAAATTGTACCATGTTACATTTTCAAATGGAGAAAGGTGGCATGATATTTCCATTGAAAGTCACTCGTGCAGCTGCACCTTCTCTTCCAAAATGGGGTTGCCTTGCCGGCACTTGTTGGCCGTGTACGTCAAATACGACATTGAGCCTGACTTGGACAAAGCAGTACGAAGCCGCTGGTTCAAACGGTACCAGGCCGCATTCTTGCCAAATCAGCAAGCCGCTGCTGAGAACAGCACCCCCACAGACCAACTCCGAATACTTTCGATGCCTGGCCCAAATTTTGAAAAAATGAACCGTAATCAGCGATACAATTTTGCTATGCGGACACTCAAGTCACTTGCCGACACGTTGGCCGATTGTCAACCTGGTATCTTTGCACAACGACTCGGGTTCTTGGAGGATTTGAATAGCACTTGGCTCAAAGGAGGTGAAGAGAACAAAAGGGACTGCTCTATAAATTTAGCCACCAGCAGTAACAGTGAGTGTGACACACAAGCAGCTGAAAATCCTCATAGTCAAGCCGTTGAAGTGGAAAACATGCAGAAGAAACCTGAGGAAGCTGAAAATTCGGGTCAAGCCATTGAGCTGGAAAACATGCAGGAGAAAGCTGAAGAACCCGACAATCCTGGTCAACCCGTTGTAGTAAAAACGTGCAGGAGAAAGCTGAGGAAACAGGGAAAAGCTGTCCAATAAAGCTTCCAGTGGTGAAAAGCAGAGGACGTCCTGCCAAGCGCATTCGCCAAAGAACAATGAAGAGGAAGAGACAAGGAGAAGGTCCTGTGCCTTTCAAGGATTTATCTCCGAGGTCTCAAGAAAAGTGTAAGAAAATATGCCTTTTGCAAGCGTTCTGGAAGTGTGCAATCATTACTTGCTTGGAATGGAACAGAAAACGTTTCTAGTGATGATTTTTTGTCAGATGCATAATTTTTAAGAACTTTTAAACATGCACTAGCTACGTCCCTCAAGAAAGGTTAATCTGAGGAAATGTTCTTTATTGGCATGGCTTGTCATGCTTGTGCATTATGTGCTGGATATTTTTTTCAGTGATCCTAACTGGCATTGCTGGCCAGGAGGCTGCAGCACGTGTTTTGAATGAAGGGGGAATTCTCGATGAGAGTGATATTGAAGTGCGCCCCGAGGAGTTGGCGAGCGCCCTCCTATACCACCGGGTATCATTGCCAAAGCTGAAGAAATACTTCACCGCAGAGGCATGGCTGTTGCTCTCATCATCCCGTAAGAACCTGGTCGTTTATCATTGTTTTGTGACTGCCATGCATGAGCAACTGTTCTTTGTCTGCAGTTGCTGTGAAAAAAAAAAGGAGACATATGGAGCTGTGCACAATGCAAGAAAAAGGATGATGGCGAAATAAAAATGGTTTTGTGTGATCAGTGCTTGGAATGGTTTCACTGGTAAGTATAGGATGGCATAAGGTCATAATTTATGTTCTTACATGCTTTTCTCCATTATATTACAGGCCGTGTGCTTCAGTGAAGAAGGAGGACCTAAAGCGTCACTGGTTCTGTATGAAGTGTTGCAGTCACACATAGATACTTCCTGGAGCAATAAACGCATGCTTTTTTTTCTTTTTGCACTTATGCTGTTTTGTTTTGCTGCTGAATAGACGGTAGGCAGTCTTCGGTAGTGCAGTGCCTTGTCAGCTCGAAACTGCAGTACTGCTACGGGTCCGTCCGCTCTGTTGCAAAAGTTCAGGAGAGCTTAGTATATCTCATACGCCCCCGCGCATGAGATGAGGGAATCGCGAGAGACCAAGGTGACTGAAGTGTTTGACGCATGTTGCGTCCTGTCTATTTCAGTTCTCACCCAGGAAGCACATCAGCGTTAGGTTACTTTTTTTGTGTAGCGTGAAAGTTTAAATAGGGAGACCCTGAGAAAAAGGGAAGGGGGGGGGGGGGGGTAATTTGACACAGCAGGATGAGAAATTTACTACAGTAAATTATTTCTAAACTTTTATATCTTGTCATCTATGAAACAGGGAAATAGAGTAACTGATACAAGTGTAAGTTGAAATACATGTAACTGTAATATGCTCCAACATGAAACTGTTTCGACGGTGAGGACAGCCAGCGTGTGAACAGCGCGGCTAGCTGACTTTTTCTGAAGCTCGGAGTGCTTGCTGCCAACACATGCTCAAACAGGATGGCCAGATGTATATGAACTGAAGGCACTGCTGAACAATAATAGGGTGTTCACCCTATTAGCGTTGTCAAAGACCTCCATTTCCACTGCAAGCTGGTTTCTTCCAACGACGACAACTTTTCATGGCAATGAAGGGAAAGCTACGGGGGCGGAGCTTCTGCACATGTACAGCCGCCCAAATCTTTTTAACTATCGTGCGCGAACGCCGACTTTGTGCGTTAGCGCCGTACGACGGAGCCAAGTTGCAAACGGCGAGAGTAAGCGCAGTCCCATGACGCGCGCACATGGGCCTATCGTCTGCTCGGCTGTTCCTTCGTGAGAACGTCACCCTGCATTAACTTAGTTCAGAAGAACAGGCAGCGCGTCTGGCTCGTATCTTAATATTCCGAAGATTAGCAAGCAACCGAGAAAATGAAATCCGCAGATACGTCACACGCCCCCGCGCATGAGATAAGCTGACAAATGTGGATCGTTCATTTGTTATCTGGCGACGCAAACGCTTTTTTTTTTTTTTAAGTTTTCTCTCGCCCTATTTGGAACATGGCTCCGTCGTATGGCGTTGACGCACAAAAAGGTCGGCGCTCGCGCACGAGATTTGGATAGTTATAGATTTGGGAGTCTGTACATCTCACTAGTGTGTGCTGCGTCCTGTCTCAAAGAGGGCTACATGTAGAAAATAAAAGAGTTGTTCTGATAACTTACCTAGAAATACGGTGGCATTTGCGGGACTACATTATTTACGATAGGATACGCGCGATTTGACTCTGCAGCCTTCGCTTCAATGCCAAGAAAAAGTTGTCCGCGAGTATAGTGTTCTACCCCATTGAAAACTGCTGCTCTTTGCATGCGCAATTACGTGCAGAGCGATAAGGTGAGCAAGGTGTAGCACACGCTCTCGTTTGCATTAAAACATCGTACTGTTCACAGCTGTAGGGCCCGTTACTTTGGCAACATCCACTAAACAGTTGTCACACGCGTAGACTACTCGGAAGCATGCATCGGTAGTCCGATCCGGAAGGTTTCAGCAACTGCCGCGTGGCGCGTCAGTCGCGTCGTGCGTATACACGCTTCCGCCAAGACCCACGACGTCGTGCGTATAGAGTCGGTCTAACAGGAGACCATCACATTATATGGTGTCCTGCTCACGAAGGTTTGGAAGGGAACGTCGTGGCAGACCGTATAGTTCGAGGCATCACCAACCGAGCGACGGCAGGCCACGACGTTGAACCTCTTTCCAATTCGCGTGACATCCTCCTCCAACAAAGGAAGCAACGAAAGGAATATGGGCTTCCACATAAAGACTTGGATAGCCAGCAAAGCAGGGATTGGAGACGCATACAAACCAATAGCTTTCCCAATTTGTACCATCTAAGTAGAATATATCCCGCAAGATATAAAGACACCTGTCCATGGTGTTCACAAGTACCAACACTCAGCCACATAACATGGGAGTGCACCCAGAGGCCCACACACATCGACAGCCCACACATCACGAAGCAACCACACATGTTTCACAGGCAGTGGGAGGCATGGCTTGCGGACGAGGACAAGCAGAGCCAAATAGCTTTGCTTGACCAGGTCCAGCGAGCCGCTCGTGCCAGCGGAGCCCTGGACTGAGGGCCCGACCAAACTGCCTGCATTTCAATTATTTTTTTTTTCTGAATAAAGTTTCTTCCTCCTCCTCCTCCTCCTAGCACAGGAGGCGTTGTCAGAACAGACGACGAAAAAGCGCGCGAAATCTCGCGAGCTGCGAGACCGCTCGAGACTTGTCACGTGACTCCCGCAGATGGGGCCAGCCATATGGGCCAGCGTGCCGCTTTTCACCTCTCGGCGGCGAAGACGCGCGTCATGCCGCGGCGGCACGCCTCCCGCTAGTGTGCTCGTACCCTAATAAAAACTCCTTATTTTGCCATCAGATGTAAGGTGAGCAGCCAATGAGGGGCGACCGCCGGCAAAATAATGAAAAAAATATTCGGCCAGATGTCATGTGACTGAGCAGCCAATGAGGAGCGACCGCCGGCAGAATAATGAAAAAGATATTCGGCCGGCGCCGGCAGAATAGACACTTTCCCTATTTTGCTGTCCGATGTCATGTGACTGAGCAGCGAATGATGGGCGACCGCCAGCAGAATAATGAAAAAAATATTCTGCCGGCAGAATAGACACTGCCTAAAGAAGGGTTGAACCAATTCCCTGCCCCTCCCCCCCCAACCCTGCCCTCACAAATATTTCTGGCGACGCCTCGTCTTCACAACTGTTAATCGTACGTGAACGTGACAGCCTGTCACGTCAAAAGTCGGCGACCACGAATATGCAAACTACCCCGAGCTACATCGCAACCTGAACGACACTCTGCAGAGCACACGCAAACTTCATTCGCTCCACCTGTTGCACCAGTTCGTGAACGGCGCAGAATCTACGCGCATTAGTAGAGACTACTACACAGCGTCGCTCAGTCATGCCGCGCCAACCATGCATGTTCAGCCTGAAGATTAAACGCACCATCCTCCATCTATGTCGTCGACTTGCGCGCGATATAAAACCCAAAAGGCAACCGCGCTGCGCGGTTAACTTTTGTTGTCGCACTTTTCGAATGCAATTCTTCGCGAACATTAAAATGCACAGCACGATTGCGCACTGCAACTGTACTTGTCGAGGGAACGAAAGAAAAAAATGCTTATATCGAACACGCCCAGTCATTCTAGACACGAGTTGGTGCTGGGCGCAAATTTTTTAAAACAAAATTCTTGCGGCGTTGTGATAGCAATGGCTCTGAAATGGCTCTGTTGAGTTGCGACGAAGACTTACCCAGTCCTTTCGGCGTCTCGGTTCCTCATCCCCGCAGTTTTCTAGCTGTCGCTGAAAGACAGCTAGGCGAAGCGTAGACCACGGCCACATTGCGGACGAGCGACCGTGTACTCACAAGGTGCCGTTGTCTGAAGTGCGTGCCATCCATGTGCAAGCCCAGCGTCTGTTGAAGTATCTGACAGGTCACAGAACACCTACCGACAGGTCGATACACGTGGGTAAAGTGAGCTAGAATAGGCTTCTAGCTCACTTTAACGTGGGTCGACAAGTGTTCTGTGATCACATGTCATGTAAGCCGGCCAGAGGAAGCCTACCAAGCCAGCTCAAAAAGTACGAAAGCGCGGTGGCTGCCAAACGAGAACCGCATACCACTGTACCGCAAGAACCACGCGCCGTGCATTCTGGGGCTTCATATCTTGGAAAAATAAAAATAAATAAATAGGAGCGTATATTATTTATTTTAATTTTGTTTATTTATTTTTACATATTGCAGCCCGAATTGGGCTATCGCAGGAGTGGGTTTGCTATATACATCAGCACACACAAGAATACAACTCTTAACCATAGCCTCCTATATAGAAAGTATGTAGGAGGCTATGTCTTAACAAACAGGAATAGAACTCTTACGTAAACAAATTCCGAATCAATACTTTCATGCAAGAAATTACAACTCTTAATAAACAAATTGCGAATCAATACATTCATGCAAGAAATCTTCTAAAAGCAATGATCTAGTTGACCCAGGCAATACATTAAAAAAAGCTGAATTTAAATAGGTTAGTAGGTGGATGGAATGGTGTCAGGTTGAGTTTGTGGCTATTCCTTGTGGGTTTCAGTTTATCAGGAGACAGATATTCGTTAGTTAATGCGTAGCGTGGAGTATTAACAAGAATATGCATCAACTTTAGGCATTCGAGTTCGCGTCGCTCGGACAGGGTTTGCAGACCTAGCGTAGCAAGTTGAGAGGAGGGTGAGAAATTCCAGTCGTAACGGCGGAAAATGAAACGGATGGCTTTTTTTTCTGAACGGATTCTAGTGTGCTCAGATGTCCGATTTTTTATGAGGGTTCCAAACGGGGCAGGCATATTCGAAGATGGGACGGATGAGTGATTTATACGTTAGCAACTTTGTTTCGGGTGGAGCATCTTTTAAGGTACGATTTAGGTAGCCCAGTTTCTTTAAAGCTTTATTGCAAGAGTATTCGATATGTTTAGACCAAGACATATTGGGTGTGAAGATGAGACCTAGGTACTTAAATTCGGACACACGTGACAGAGAGGAGCCATTGAAGGAGTAATCGAACAATATTAACACCATCTCTTCTAGTTTCTGTCCTTCTTCGTTGTTCATGTATATGCACTGGCGCATAGAGTTAAAATATGCATTGGCGCATGTTTCGCTTTGCTCCTACGCTGCCCAAAACGCTGTTAGCGCCCCGACTCGTTTTTTCACAGTTCGTAAAAAGCGCGCTAAACTTTTTGTTACGTAACAACATTTAAAAGGTAAAAGTACGTAGACGTATCAAACTGTGTGTGTGAATAAAGAATAAGGCAAATGTGCATTTGGCAATCCAAATATAAATTACTCAAACTTTGTAATACATTGAAATTTAGGAACAAGTAATGTTTTAGAGTTTCGATTAAATACAATTTTTAGAAGTCACTTGTGTACACACAAAAGCGAAGCACATTTGTATCATTTCTCCACTGATGTCAAACAAAAAGGAGGGGGCACGGAGGAAGCTTTTTCCTTCCTCCGTGGGAGGGGGGCAAAAAATATGGCTGCTGCGTAGACGACTGAGGTGCGTGTGGTCGAACAGTTAGTGCTGTTTCGTTTCTCGTTTAATTTATTTCCCGAATATTCGTTTCAACCGTTAGCTCACGGTAACCAACATGAACGCCTCAAAGTCAAGTAGGGTAAGTGAACAACCCGCAGGTGTGCTTCTTTTTCTTCTGCGAGGTGCCTTGATAGACTATACTTTGCAATCTTTCCCCGATGGCTTTCCATTGTAAAAGCGTATAATGCTGTTTTTTTTTTTATAGCATTGTAACATACGAGTCTTACGCTGGGAAAGAATAGCGTCGAAAAAAAAAGTGTTCTCGCCTTTTGTTTATTCTGGTCAAGTCGGCACCTCATATACTAACCCACTGCAATTTTCGTCTTCACTCTTCCAGAACTCGTGAACTCTGAGTGGTGTGGAGCTAAAGCTTGCATTTAAAAACAAAACTCACAAAAGTACCAACCTTCTGCTCCACCGCCAGTTTGCATTACCGTAAAATTCCGATTCGAAGGTACGTGGCAACGCCGCTTCTCTGTCATCCTCTTCATGTGTCATGCCTTTAACGTCGGGCGTAGGAATCTGGTTGCGAACGATTGGCGCTTAATTTTCAGTGTCAGTGTTCCCCGCGGCTTTAATCGCGTAAAACGAGGCGTGAAGTGTCCTCGAACTACGCGGGCGAGCGAAAGACCTGTGATCACGCGTATGTAGAAAAAAATTCACGCAATAAAATTAAACTCTGATTGCGCTAGACGAAAGAAGAGTGAGCCTACACCGACAGTGGTGCCATGGTTCCTACGCCCACACCAGCGACCTGGTTTCGCTGCATCATCGCAGAATCGCCCATTGCTGTGCTCGTGCGCCCTGCGTTTTCGTTGTCCTGCAATCACCCAGCGATGCCTCACCACTCTACACCATCGTCTGTGTCGTCACATCTCACCTGCACTGACGTTTGTCCATGTGTGTGTTTGTGTTTGACCGCAGTGTTTGACCGCATCGGGCAGTGCCATAGTTCCCAGTTGTTGCACTTAGCCATAAGTGCCCACGTTGTGGTCTAGAGGGCAGTTGAGACCAGAGTGATCACAACATTGGATCGTATGCGTCATTGCCTAATATTTAGTGTTGTCACATGACACTGTATTCCTGAGATCTTTAGGTTCATTTGATTCACCCACATCACATGAACCAGGTCACTGATGGGTTGCACGCTGTTAGTTGTACAGTAGTTTCTCTGGAACAGCATTGCTTGATCACTCTTGCTCAACAGGAACCAAAACTCACGTCTTCAGGACTGCTTGTGCAATCCTGCACTGTCTTTTTATAGGGAGCTTGCATGAACGGCGGCGACGCTATGGACTCTGGGAAGGCAGCCATTTTTTTGTCAGAGGTGGCCTGAGGAGTGCAGCAGAGCAGTTGTGTTCGCGAGCATTGCCGTAGCTTGCAGGTGTGATCGAGTGCGCCGCAAATTTGACTCCAAGAAGTGTCGTGCACCAGGTCAGCCTCACCGGAAGACTACAACGCACCGCTGTTCCAGAAAGACTTCGAGAGATACGAAGAAGAGACGAGAATTTGCTCTGATTTGACCCATTCACGCTTCGTGTGGGCGACTGTGTAAGCAGCGTGCACTTGCGGGCGCGCGTCGACAGCTTCGATATTCATGAATTTTTCATTCTGAGGGCGAGTTTAAAAACCCGGGAGTAGATGAAGCCCAGAATGGCCCTCAAGGTTCACAACTTGGTGAAGAGTGGCCAGGTGAGGGAGCGGTGAAAGTTGCCGCCGACACCGTGGTCGTCATCACTCAAGTAAGACGTGTTAAATTGAGGAGCGCTCTTCTCGTGCACATGCGTCGTACTTCACGAAGAATAACCGCACAGTGGGATACGAGCAGGCTTCACTGTTCCTGGCCATGCATGTGCAGTGCGCGGCAAGGACCTTGCCATCACTCTTGCCTATGAACAAGACGTCGACAGGGGGCTTGTTAACACACTGGTAGCTTCACCTGAACAGAAGCAAACATTAGCATCTACGGCAAAATCAAGTAATTTAACGCCTCTTACTTCAGTGACGATGATCACACTGTCAGCAACAAATTTCTTCACCCACCACCCCCCCCCAACCAGCCACTTGTCACAAGGTTGTGGTCCCTTGATTGCTTTTGGGCTTCAACAGCTCCGGCATAATCAAACTCGTCCTCGGAACGAGAAATTCATAATATCGGATCTGTCGACGCTGCGACCACAAGTCCACGTCACTTACACTAGTCGCCCGCACGAAGCTTGAATGGGTCTAGTCAGAGCTAATTCTCGTCTGTTGTTCGTACCGCTCGAGGTCTTTCTGGCACAGCGTTGTGGTGTAGTCTTCCGGTGAAGCTGACATCGTGCACGACACTTCTTGGAGTTAAATTTGCGTCGCGCTCGCACTCGATTACGCTTGAAAGCTACGCCAACGCTCGCAAACACGACTGCGCTACTGCACTCTTCGGCCGCTTCTGACAAAAAAATGGCTGCATAACCAGAGTGCATAGCGTCACCGCCGTTCGTAGCAAGCTCCCTATAGATGAAGGCAACTATAAACTATACTTTTTCAATAGCTTTCATTCGGTATCATCCACTGCTCATAACCAGCTGATATTCAGTAGTAATGACATAGCACCAGTACAGCCCACATTGACAAATTATGTGAAGGAATTAGAATGGAAGTGTTATGCTGTCCCCAGCTCTGTGCATGTAGCAGCTGTGCTACCCTAGTGTTGGCCAGTATGAGGACAAAAATAGTAGTGTTGTGTCGGCAAGGTTAAGATGGTGCAAGCGGATTTGCTGAAAGCAGCAGGCTTATGAGAACATGTGAGCCAAGCTTATCACAGCATCCAGCCTGGAATTTATGATTAATTCTTGAAGTCGGCTAGGAATTGCTCACTCTTCTTTGAGAAAATTATGCCATAAACCCAAATGACCATGATATAAAATAAATGTCCACGCCCATTGGTCGATTTAACCATCTGGAGCTGAATAATTACATAATGGTTGCCATGAGATGTCACCACATGCCCACGTGCAAGCGCTTTTGCTATGAAAGTAAGGCGCACAGTTCAAAGTAAAATGAAAAAGTGCTCTAGTTTCTGCAACCGCTTATGCTTGACGGATTCTAAAAAAAAACATTTTCGGAAGTTGCCGTCTTAGTCAATAAACTTTCATGAAGCCAATCGAAGTACTGCGGGATCTCTTTGATGCAAGGTATCATGAAAGCAAGCCAGTAGTTTAAGCATAAAAGCCTCTCTTATCCATAAACACAATATTTCGATCAACCCATCCATGAGGGTGAAGCACGATTCCTGAGTACATTTTTGTCATGACGCAATCAAATGGAGCCAAAAAAAGCATTGGAGTTGTCGCTTGTTGTTATTGTGCTCTCATTATCAAGCAGATTGAAATTAAGGTAGGCAAAAAAATGTCTTCTTTGAACACGGAGTACGTTCTTTTATACTCCACCCGTGGGCATCCGAGATAATATAATAAATCAACTCCAAAAAGGCAATCGTATTATCTAGCTGGGAATGTGAGAAACCGACTGTTGTCGAGGCTGGCAGTGTGTTTTCTTCTTTCTGTCTGCATCCTTATTTTCTGTGCTGTTTGTCACAAACTGCAACATATTGTGCACTCGATAGGAGAATGATTATGCTTGTGTGATGCTGTGAAGACTGTCAGACAGTGAAGTTGTAAGCTGCGTGAACTTGCTGTGAGGGTATGCTAAGACAGCAGTCTCATTTCGAGCATTGTCATTAATTTTTTTTAAATCTATTTTCTGGTCATGTGGCTTGCGGTCACGCCTACTGCTACATTGGAAGCTTGTTACTTTGAAAACAGATCACTCAGGCATGTTCTGTCGTCTGAACCTGTATAGGCATTGCTTAACGGCAATAAACATTAATTTCATCATGTTTGGCTGCAACCTGGTTAATTGGGATGGATCTCGGAGCATGTCGAGTGTGAAACGCTGAAATTGTATGACACAAAGCAATGAGAACAGCATTCGCAGACAGCCGAAATGACCGTGGATTTTTTTTTAAGGAATAGTGGCCATACAGAGTTGCGTGGATGTGTAAGGCATGGGTTCAGGGCATTTTTCGGCTTAAGACACAGTGGTCTTGAGCTATGGTCGCTCTGCATAGTCACAAATGACGAAAATTGTGGCTTGTGCACTGCTTCTGTGCCAAGTAATTACTGGATTTGCGTATTCTAGAAAAGTAAAGTGCAATGGTGAAACAGAAATTCTTTGTTTTAATGGTACTTTCAATATTTAGGCATTTCGTTATTTGGACAGTTTTTCTAGTTTCGTGAAATTCAAGTTAACGAACTTTCACTGAACTGTGCCGACATTAGCTCAATGTAGCCCTGGACAGCTGGTAACATTTGAAAGGATGAGCAGGCTTGTCAGGGTCATGTAGGTGTGCATGCCCGGACGATGAGAGGACGATGCTTGTGACTGCGCGTTTCTAGTTAAGGTAATGGTTTTGAGGTAAGGAAAGGTGGTCTGCACACCTTAAGGGACCACTGTGAAGCATCACTGGGAAGGAGTTTAGTGAAAGCAATGACTTGACAAGAGAGTCCAGCTTGTCAAGACACACATTACTATGCAGCAGTTTAAGATACCGCTCTTCCAGGTAGCAGGCCAGGGTTTATTGGTCAGACAGTGCATTGGTCTTGTAAATATCATGTGCCCTGTGATGCCCTCGGATGAAAAAGATCATTCCACACTTGCTGCCTGAACTGCAAGTGGCATTGTGTAACATGCCACATGTGAACACCCTACGAAAATGTGGACAAGGGAGCACTCTTTCCTGTAGCCCAAATGGTGGGGCATCAGACGCGTAAGGTTGTAAGCTTGAATCCCAGCAAAAGAAAGAGGGTGACTAGCGTCGCTTTAGTGTCTTTCGTTTTAAGCACGAACCATTACAAACGCAGTTAATGAACCACTCGTAATGCCCCATTGTGGTTTCCTGGTGGTGTTGAGCGAGGCTGTGGCTGAAAATCGGATGCGATTGCACAAATAAAGCTTCTGTAAAACAAAATATTTATTCTTTATTAATGTGCCTCATTAGCATGTATCATATACTACAATGAAGGTCCACTCATCTTTACGACATAACTAAACTATGAAAGAAAGAAATGGACAATAATTAGGGCCTTGTAGTATGCCTTTCTAGTTTAGCAGCCATTCAATTACTCTAAGCTTCGTAAAATGGTACATTGAGTAGAAATTTACAAGGTTATATAAAACTCGTTTCTGTGCAACAATAAAAAATTGATAGGTTACTACATCAGGGTGTCTACCAACCTGGAAAAGTCAGGGAATTGGGACCCTTCTGGAAAAGTCAGGGAATTTCTCAAAAACCTGGCCAGGTCATAGAAACTGGCAGCAGTTCTGTGCGACCGTCACAAAAATAAGCATTACCGTGGATAAAAGCTTAAAAAGTTGCTCATTCAACTGCATTTGCAATGAGCTGCTAGAGAGCGTGTAAAAAAAAAAAAACGATAATGCGTAGCGCTTGCTTCTTAGTGTATACCCGAAGGACACGCTGACCCATAGAACACAAAGTTTACTGACGTTTCAGTACCTAATATGGGAGGGAGCCTTGTTCTTAATAAAAGCCACAAGAAAGGCACAGTGTACTTAAGTGCTCCTAAATGGGTGACGTAAGCAGCGAGGGATAGGAAGACAGGGGTCTATTAAGGAAATTATTGTCAATGTCCCAAAGAGACTCGCGCTATGACAAACTTAAAACATGATGTTTTGGATGCGGAATATGTTGATGTTCGTCTTTTACGCAACTTCAATTGTGAATGTCGCGCTTCCTGTGAGCATCTCGTGACTATCATTGTTTGTTCTTGTTTCAGTAAAGTACTAACTACCCAGTCTATCTGTGTTGATGTGTTGAGCTTCTTTCCGTTTTTGTTGTCTTCACACAGATAATCGAACTGCGCTTTGCTAAGCTTTTGTGATGCACATGATGTTAACTTGTTTAGTATTGTGCCAGCCATCTCCAGCTGCTGTGTTCTCGTAAGAACACTTGACACTTCATAAATATAGCATCTGTGTGTGGCAAGCACCTAAGCTCGCGCCCGTTGTCGGCATTACTGTTGCCGTTTCCCTCCTTGTCAATTCTCTTACCGTATTTTTTTCATGTAAAACCCGCACAATTTTCTGATTTAATTTGAATCCAAAGTTTGAAAAAAAAACGCAAATTTTGTTTTGCAAAGGTGGCTTCACAGCTGTGCAAGGAAGTCAGCTTTGCGAAAATAGGCGAATTGTTTGTTAATGATTATTGAGGGTGTGGGTGACATGGTAGCAAATACTGCATTTGTGGAGAGGAAATGTCAAATCATCGTGCCTTCGCACCTCGCTCACAATGTGTCTTTCATGCAGGGTAAAAGAAAGTCTTCCCCACATGCGAGCGACGCTGAAAAGGTGTGCAACTTTTTTGCAGTGTCGGAACCTTGGAATGCAGTTCAAGCTGTGTGCTTAGTTTGGGGCTCACGCACTGTGTTGAATAAGCTTACCAAGGCCAACTGAAACTTTAGTCAGCGTAAGCGAATAACCGTAGTTAGACCAGTGACTCAATTTTTCGTTCCTACTATCAGCTGCTCGTCGAGAAATCATGTTCACATGCTCAACGTTTTTAAAATGTTGATTTTCTAGGGTAATGCAGATAGATTTCTTAAGTAAAAGACAGCTAGCGTTTTCAAAGAACAATTCAGCGGCATACACCAGGGTTCTGAAACTCGCTTTGGCTAATGGTCCGCAGTCACTAAATTTAGCCCTGCAAGGGACAACGTTGAAGGTGGGGGAGTTGAGCAAGATACCAGCTAATGTTGCTATTTTACTAGGTGTTTCTCATCTCATGGGTGGTTTGTGAAGGCGGTTTGGCATCAGCATTCGAAAAACATGCCAATGCCAATCTCCTATATGACTGAAATTTGGACACCAATTCTGAAAGATAGATTTTCTGCTGCATAGTAGATTTCAACACATTGTGACCACATGTGGTTCCCTATGAAAAGTATGCCCAAGACCAGTCCAGTCTATGTAGCTTACCTGAACAAGGCGTTGGTAATCGCAAGAGGCCAGAAGATAATGCGAATACCATTAGCAGTATCACAAAACTTTATTCTTGTGCAGGCAGTTCACTACTGAAGTTCTCGTGGCAACGTTCTTGAGACGCCTGTTCTCTTAAGGCTTATTGTTTCTAGTTCACATATCTTTGACTCAGATCTCCTCGTTTAGTAAAGACTAACTACTTCTAACTGGGATTTATTGGACCTGCCTGGAGCTTCTTGTGCTTTGAAACATTTTGACAATTCGGCGGCCCTTGTATGCACTTGCTTGCAGGCCCAGCAAAAGATGCCAAACTGGTATTACAGCAAGAAGGCCCTTCGGAAGACTCCGTCCTACCTTGATGGCATCTCTGTCGAGAAGGAGCAGAGATACCGGCGGGAGGGCGCGCGGTTCATCATCAACGTTGGAACCAAGATGGGACTGTATCCTTGCTGCATTGCAGTGGGCATTGAGCGTGTAAAGATCAGGGACCTAGATTAGTACCTCATACTGCAGTGTTCTCATCAATAGTAGTAGACGAAACAATAGTAGCAGCGGAGCAAATGTAGCGAGAGCCACAGCAGCAGCAACAGCCATCAAAGCTTGCTGCGATGGATGTCGTCGGGGAACCTGATAACAAGATATTGGCTAGTGACGTTGGCACTGCACTCTGCCACTCTGAGTGTAGGGCCTAGTCTTGCGGCACCCAGTAGAAAGTCACGGTCTCTTTGTTATAGCTGAAACGGCGTACCCTATTCTGGCATTCGGCAATATTACATGCGCATGGAATTTTGTCGCTGCAACATTCATGAGCGCACAAAGCATACAGAGCAGCGGCCCCATACTGAAACTACCACTAAGACACGACCGCAGGAGGAAAGCACGGTTGGGCGAAAATGGAAATTACGAACAACTCGCGCCTTTTCCCATGGCAACACCAAGCCTTTCCTTCTTCCTTGAATCAAACAAGAATGGACAAGCAATTTGTATTATGTGCTGTAGTGCAGAGAAGATACTTTTTTCATTGCATATGTTTGGATTACTAGAGATTAATTGTGCTCGAGACTTTTGGCGTCATTGGGATCATACCAAAATGTCCCACTCATGGTGCATACGGTGTTGTACATTTACTTTACCTTCACAATTAATAGAGTACTGCTGTTGATAATGGTGATGACGTTAGTCTTTCAATTTGAAGCAAATTGTTATTGGCCTTTAGTGTCCTTTCAAACAAATACTTTTAAAGAAAGGGAGAGAATGACTCGTACATGCTACGACTCTGTTTGCCTTGTGGCTGAGCTTGATGTGCGACTTCAGCCTTGTTGCTCCTTGACTGTGACTTCCCTCCTCAGGCGCTACGACACCATGGCCACGGGTGTGGTGTACTTCCATCGGTTCTACATGTTTCACTCCTTCAAGACATTCCCCAGATTCGTAAGTTGTTTCTTCGCTCGTTTCCTTCTCTTGAAGTCTCACTCTACATAGGACAATGTCCATTTTATTTTGTGGGCACAGTGCTGTTATTTTCATTTACTTTTATTTCTTATTCAGTACTGTTAGCATACATCCCAAAAGAGGAGTTGCTCATCTGGGTACAATTACAACACTTTGAAAAATCAATTCAAAGGGGGAAGAAGGCCTTGCAACTTGACACATTGCAAAAAAAAAAAAAAATGGAGAAAAAAAAAGAAATGAAACATTCAATATGCACATTGCAGCCAACTCAGCAAAACAGCTTTTCAAGTGAGTACATTTTACCAGTACATTTAATTCAACAATCCCTTTCGAAATCTTCGACAATGTTACACACTACAACATCATTCTGTAACTTATTTCATGTGTCAACAGCAAATACGATGAAAGAATTTTGGAACGATTTGGTGTTGTGCTTCAACGGTATAATGTATTTACTGTGCTTTGTGAAGCTCAAGCAGCTGCTTAAAAGTAACTTTGGAATATATGTGGTTCACAAGTGTAGACATTTCAGGGGGGGGGGAAGCTTCTCCCCCCCCCCCCCAAAAAAAAATTTTGTATTTGTGTGGGAGGTATGGGTAGGTGTTTTCAAGCAGGGAACACTCCTTTCGCGCGGAAAATACAGATGAGCACGAGCGACCTCCAGTTTGACCTCTCTCTGCTGAGGTCAAAAGGTCTGCGTGAACTTGAAGTTTAACTCTAAGGCAGGGTTCCCTACACATGAGCCGGCATCCCAGCATGGCGCAAACCTAGGCCTCCGAGATCAGTTCCATCATAGCACCATTGTTCAAGGTGCGCCGCCAACGCTGATCCTGGAGGTAGCGCCTGAACTAAGGAAAAGGCATGGAGGAAGGAAACGATTGAGGAGAGGCCCTGCCGTCACTCGTTGTGAAGCCGGAAGTCAGCCATGTTGGCTGGGCGAATTTCCCTCTCTTGTTTATATCCGTATGTGAAGCAGAAAGTGCAACTCTCTCCGTACTCGAAAAGCCAGTGGGTTGCGCAGCACGCATGTCTGACAATCCGAAACCAATGAAATGGGGCTCAACACTGTGCTGGCACGATATCGATTGTGAGAATGCGTGCTAGATGCACTGACTATGCGCATGTGGTGCCAATGTTTTCACGACATTTATATTCCATACTTTACAGACAACACGATTGCCCGTGCGCCACCTTCTCTGGTCATTGTTCCCATGTTCCGTGTAAAAGATCACCGCCGTTAGCATTGTGCAACAGCAATGAATGTTGAACATTTAATAAAACAGCTTTTGAAAAAGTAACATAACACACATACTGCCATTACGAATGAAAATACCGAAAATAATTGTTTCATTAAATAGTCAAGACTTTCAGCAAGCGCCTGCCCACCCCTACCCGAAAAAATTCCTGGCTACGGGCTCACTGGAAAATTGTGACATGCTTTAACGAGATAGCATCAGAGAATTCTTATTCTACCCTGGAATTTATGTTTATCATAAATTCTAGTGTTGGTGTTAGTAGAATAAGCAGTCGTCTTTAGTTTTCATTTGGTCCGAAAAAGCAGGAATTTTTCATGAGCAAACGTTCGAGGCAGTTGGAAATATAGCTAGGAGGGCATTCAAACTTTAGCTTTCGTTGCTAGCACAGTTTAAGTTTCCACCGAAGAGCAAACAGCAGGATAGTGATTGAGAAAGCTATAGCAGTCTGTGTGTGCGCACACGGCCGTGTAGATTTGGCCATTTTGTTCAACTCCTATAAGCGAATCTTATAGTCCTCCCTCCCTTTTTTTTCTGGAACTGAAAGAACATCTGCACTACTACTTCACCTCGTGTCTCTTTCTTCATCCTTTTCATATGTTCAAACTAGTTTTTGTTACTGCTGTTGGTGTATCCATCATTTTGTCATTTTTCCAGATAACGGCTTGTTGCTGCCTCTTCCTGGCGGGCAAGGTGGAGGAGACCCCCAAGAAGTGCAAGGACATCATCAAGACGGCACGCTCATTCCTCACCGACAAGCAGTACCTGTCCTTTGGAGAAGACCCTAAGGTTGGTGGCGTGTGGGGGCGGCCACACCACTGTTTCACTCTCTGGCTGGCTGTTTCGTTTAAATTCCGAGTCGCATTATGCAGGAACCTGTGCTTACAGTATGTGCAAATGAACCTTGGGGTGTTTAAAATTTTGCTGAAACCTCTCTGTTATGGCTTCTTTCTTAGCCATCATCCCCCCCTTCTTCCGTCCAAATTTCCTAAGTAATGTTTTCCTAAGTAATCTCTGTGGTTCTAAGTAATGTTTGGTTATAAAATTGATGCTCGTAAACCGATCTATCAGTTCTCTTGGACTCTCATCATTATTTTCTCTCTCCGCCCCCTTGTGCGTCATGGTTGTTGTTTCTTAGAATGCAAGGAGAAACTAAAGCTAGAATTTCCGGAGTGAGAACTCCCGCAGGGTATTATCAGCGAAAATGAAGCCACTACTTGCACCCGCTTCACCTTGTAAATAGAGCCTTGAATGCTTGAGACCGCTGATCAATATTGCTCTTTCCTAGTTTAAAGGTGAACATATTTGCGAGAGATTTGCCTGGTTGGGTAAAAATAAGTATGAATAAAACAATCTCTCCGGCCAATTCCGGTCTATAGTTTTTATTCTAAAATTAAAAACTGGCCCTACCTTTTCGGGCATGTTCGGTCCCTTCCTTTGAGGATGACTGTGCGGCCGGCTTCAAAACTAGCAACTTTTTTTAGTGGTCATTCTAATATAAACTATATATATATAAATATAAAACTAAGGCTAAGTGTTCTCTTCAAGAATAGCTTCAGTTGAACGTTGGCTGTGTGATAATTAATAAATTTAATCATGACATTCAGGCCAATTCGGTCATGGCACTAGCTGCCAATCAACAGGGGTGCAAAAGCTGCGACAATTTTGCAAATTTGATACAATTTCCCATTTTTGTGCAAAGCCGCACCAAAATCATGAAATTTACTGAAATTGCGCCACGCTGCGCCAAAATGCCCGACCAGCTTAAAATTTTTTTTCAGTTGTGCGTTGCACTAATTTCAGCGAGAAACGGCGGTCAGATTGGCTATCTGCGTTCAGTTTGCGTCATCATCAATCCAAGCGTGCAGACCGTAACCCAAAACCACGGTGGTAGGTGTATTCCCATCAGGTCAGGGCACTCGCGACACGTGATGAGCCAGATAAAGTAACAAAGTCGCGCGCTGTCGGTCTGCTGACCGCTGCAGATAGATGTCGGTGAGACGACGCAACTTGAAGACCAAAAGCGTTGCCGTAGCACTGGTGGATGCAGAAGGGGGAAGGTGATAAGGGCAACCCCCCCCCCCCCCCAATCACGGGACACAGCACATTTTGTTAAACTTCTCATGCGTGTGTGTATACGGGAGTACTAGTTGGGAGTACTAGTAATTGGGAGTACTAGTAGGATCGATGACATCTGTAAAAGTTACTGGCAATCATTTATAGCCGTGCATAACATACAAAACTTGTGCTAGTTTGGTTTTTTTTTCACCACTCCTACGAATTCTCTAAATTTCAAGGTCACCAGCTTGGCAGATCCGCATTTGAATTCAGAGTCAGACGCGGCAAATGTTAATGTGAACATTATCATTCAGTGAGGTGCTTCATAATACTAATTTCATTGAAATAGCAGTGCTCTTACTCACACTGCACAATTAAGGGCATGTTCAATATCTTTTACACATTGTTTTTCATAATGTAAGACTTCTTTTCCATGCTGCTCAAAATTTGGTCTTTCGCGATAAAAGATTAATGTTCCAAATTTTTATTTTTGTGGTCCGTGTGTAACATATTGCTGCTCCAAAAATTGCTCCAAATTCTATTTGTGGGGTATCGAAATGGCGAGCGAGCGCCACGCTACACTCTTGGAGTAAACGGACACAGTTGACACGGTCGGTACAAACCAACCAACACAGACATTTATTTACCTAATTTCAGAATGACGATATCATCGGACGAATTGATACATCAATCGTAATTAACACGCTAGGACATCCTTACACCATATTACGCACTCCAAAACATGACAGACACAATAACACGATAGACACAGTACAGCCGAACCTCGATATATCGAACGGCGCGGCGATCGCGAAATAGTTCGATATACCCAGAATTCGATATAAACAAATCACGAAAAAAATGCGTCAACAGCTTGCTGAAAACAACCAACAAACCGTTCAAGCGTGGTGCAGTAAATACTCACTTGAAGATTCAAACATAGTATTTATTGTGTAGGTTTAAAATATTGAAAAAGAGTAGCCTGCTTTTTGTTGGCCATGGCGTGTTTGACGACTGCGTTCTCAATATAGTCCAGGCGATCCATAAGTGATAGGCCAATGCCTTCAATCACGCCGCACAAGGGCCAAGGCAGCTACGACCTCAGCTGATGTCGGGAGCGGGGCACCATCAGCGCTTGCGGGATCCACCTCGGCAGAGTCTTCATTTGGCTGCTCAGCATTAGCTTCGGCGACAATCTCTACATCCGTGAGCTCCGCCGTTCGGAGTTAGGCCTGTCGCGCACCACAGCGCGCAACAGGCCTAACTCTGAATGCACAAACACTGCGAGCACAACGACCGATGCCTGCCAATGCTACGGGAAAGGAGCTTACAACAAGTGCGCAGTGTGCCGTTGACACCATAGAGACTGCAACGACTGCAAGCTGCAAGGCTGCGGCGTGAGTCCGGGTGTAAAGCGCGCACATGGTGCGCCCATGCCGGCTCGCCTGACTGCTTTCTTTTTCACGGCGGCAGCGCAGGCCGCGTCTGAGCCAGTCGTCTGCGTCCTTTCCCTCTTATACTTTCCTCCTCAATCTTTACCTCCCACTCCCTCTTCCCCCGCGCGAAGCCGTGTCGGTGCCTTCGCATTGAAAGAAAATAATAGCTCCGCGCTTTTCACTTTCCTCGTTCAAGAACCTCTGCCGCAAAACTGCGGCGCGCGTACGTCGCTACATTTAAGTGGCGCTCTCGGGGCCATCAATGTGTGCAGCATTCGTAAACGCCCGCCGCTCTACCGCTACTTTCGAGAGTTGCGGGGAAGCTCGCCGCCTGTCAATGGAGCGCGGGCGGTTTGGGGTGGCTGAGTTCGATATATCCATTATATGTCAAACTTGCTTGAAATAAAAAATCAATAATGCATGCGATTTCCCGCGTGATATAGGAACCGTTCGATATAGGCAATAATTCGATATATTCATGTTCGATATATTGAGGTTTGACTGTACCACGATAAACACAATAACACACCCAAGGCGGCGGCGCCAACGCTTGACTTACCACGAGGGCCCCCCGGCGCGCAGCCCCGCAGTGCCACGCGCCGAGGACCCACACTAGAGACAACCGTTCTCGGCAATCGCCACACGCAGAAGAGCCTCGCTCAACTCTCGCCCGCCACCAAGGCTTGCCTTCCGCCAGGGGTCACCGCCGGCGCTACATCATGATGATGATAGCGATCACTATTAGCGAACACAATGCCACCTACCGCCTGGCGGTTGTAACCCGAAATGCGGCTTTTGAGCGAGACACACGCGCCACGCACCACAAACAACTTGACAGGGGAGTGTCAGCACCCCCACATATTTTAGAATCAATCAGTCGGTATTTATTTTCAGCTTCAGAGACATCCACCGCTAAAACCAGCACCGCAAAGTTTCACATCAAACAGTGTCTAAAAGGTCATATTAGCCATGCTAAAACTTCTAGAATATGTGTGAAAAGAGCTTGGCGAAATAGGCTTAATGTTATATGTTGTGCTACTGGTAAAATGGCGGCATTTCAGCTCCACTCCCAGAGCACCGTTTCCACTCTAAATTCTGCCAAGTCTTCCTTGTTGGGCTAGCAGGAAGTTGGCTTCACTGTGAAGGTCAGTAGCCCTGTCATAGAGATTTCAGAAGTGATGAAACTGTGTTATGTGTAGAGAACAATGCGAGACGAAGCAGCCAGCAAGGCAAGCCACAGCGTTGGTGCTACACGCATGCGACCCGAGCTTGTGTTTGCTTGGATTTTGGCCTGCTGACTGTCCTTGGCCTCCCAGTACGTTTGTATGTGAATAAATCGCATAACATGAAGTGTGTGGACTCTCGTACAAACCTGGGCCTTTGCTCCCGTAAGCTTCCCCCTCTTTGTGACACCAACATGGCCACCGAGACTTCTACCAAGATGGGACTTTCGGCCCTCCCCGTCACTTGCGGCGCATGTACCCTTAACGAGATCTCCCATCTTCACCGGCTCTGCGGAATCAGATTTGGAAGATTGGTTGGTGGGGTACGACAAAGTCGGCACCAGGAACAAATGGGGTAACCAAAGTAAGCTCGGCTGTGCCACGTTCTATCTCACGGACGTTGTGAAACTGTGGTGTAACGACCATGCGGCTGACATTCCCATGTGGTCTGCTTTCAAGACTGTTATTACGGACGTCTTTGGGCGACCTGCGGCTCGCAAGCTTCGTGTCGAGCAGCGTTTGCGTCAACGTGCACAGGAACCAGGCGAGAACCACACGGACTGTATATATGTGTTGCATCTATGCAACCGCGTCAACTTCGCCATATCTGAGGAAGCAAAGATGACACATTTTGAGTATTGAGGACTTCAGATTTTGCTCGCGAGAAATCCCCCTATGATCGCTTCACTCGTCTCCCTTTGTCAGAGCTTCGACAAGTTGCGTAGGCAGTGCGCAAATGCTCGTCAAGCCCTCACGATGCCTCACATGCTCGCAAGCTTGCAGCTAGCTGCCTGTCCTACCGATCAGCAGTCGCTCCTTTCAACAATCAAGGACTTCATCTGCAAAGAGGTAGTGCACCAGCTGTCACTCCTGCCTCTGACACATGAACCCGCGCATGCTTTGGCTCCGGACCTTCAGCACGCCATTCGGACCCAAGTTGCTGAGGCCCTCCCACCGATGCATCAGCAACCACCTGCCACTGGGCCTCTCACGTATGCCGTCGTCGCTGCTCGACCTACACAACAGCATATGCCTTAAGCTCAACCTGCCATGCCGTCCGATGTCGTGCCTA